CGAAAAGGTATGCAGAGGAATAAATATGTGTTCCTGTTAGTCATTCATTAAAATTAGTATAATAATAGATATTTTGTGGCTAGTCATGGGTACTGAGCGTAGTGATTTACATTTTCATAACGTCGCTTATGCGTCATATATGCATCATGCATTCGAAAATTCGACTTTCATGCTTTTTTTTCGCTCAAAAGGCTAGATAGGAAGGGTTATGGCTTCAAGATTTTTCCCTAGGATATTTGGTTATATTCACATTGCTATTCCTGGATTTGTAATATCCCTATTTTGCACCCTAGGGTTAAAATTGAATAAAAACCACCTCGTATCGTCACAAACTGTGTATCAACCTGGCAATTTGTTCATAAAATCATTAATTCTTGAAAAACAGGTAGGTACACTTCAAGAAGAAATGATACAACCTAACCGGACCTAATTTTACCTTTAATGTAACTGTTGCACCTGACTCAAGATGTGGTCAGGCGAAACTAATAAACGCTCTGTGTGAAAAGATTCAAGTATTGTTGTGTGGTTTCACTTTTCAAGCTAAGAATAATGTTTCCTTCCTTTCATGATTTATTTTGTCAATTTCTCGAGTTTTCAGAGGTTGCAAAAGAAGGAACTCATTGTGACATAAGCTAGATATGTAAGAGAACTGAACGATGCAGCTTCATGAGATAATTAAACTATGTGCAAGGAGCATGGAGTTTTCCATGAAGCTTTCCTATTGACAACAATATATATTGATTTTATCATAACATTTTCAGCTCTTGACTTGATGTAATAAAAAATGTGATGTAGAGAACCTTTTTAAATAAATGATTGAAGCTAGGGCAGGAATAGCTGGAATTTGGCCTTCATTTTTCATTTATGGGGTGATTGAGTGTATGAGCTATGGGTAAGCAATAAGGCATGTGAAGCAAATGACTAAAAAGGACAATTTTTATTTGTGTCAGGCTCAGCTAAAAAAAAATTGTGGCAAGGCAAAACAATATTAGGGTATAAAATAGTAAAACAGGTGCTCATTACATGGTAATTAATTGGCTTTTGTAATGTTTAGTAGGTGATGACTACTTTATTTCTCTTGTGTTTGTCAATTTACCAGATTTAATTGTAGGCACTTTATGACTGCAGTTTAACTTATATTTGATGGTTATGTAATATTTGATTGAATTGCCCCATAATGGTAGTTGAAGTTGGCTCTCATTAATGCAAACAAATCTGACACACTTGATTTTTTTACCAATTGCCATGCATTTGCTGTATCAGTATAATCATATTTCACTTTTACCAAAAGATAAATTTTGGGAATTCCTGGTTGATGGTCCTATGCAATTTTTTTTGGTGTGCCTTTGATTTTACTAACAAGTGTGACATTGCAGATGGTTTGACATTTTTAGCATTTATCTATGTAAAAAGTGACTGATCTAACTCAGCTTAAGAGTTCTTGTATGTTCACCTGTTGTAGAAAGTAGAAACTAATATTCTTGTTGAGTTTTGTTCAAATCAAATCAGGTCGTTATTTGTCTAATAAGCTTGATCTGCATGCTGTTGCCAGAGTGTCCCAATGCTTGCTGCAATGTTTGATTTAATTGTATGCATTTAACTGTACTGACAGGACCCAGCCATGATTCGCTCCCTGTGGGACACTGCCCGCTCCAGCCCCTTCCCGACTGTGGCCCAGTGTGAGCCTAGCGCTCCCAGCCAACAGCCTCAGCAGCAGCTGGTGCACGGGCGCAACATTGCCGCCTTCAGCACAGCAGGTATGTTAGTTGTCAGTCTAGGGTGATCCATAAACCTCTTACATATGTAGTGGACTATGCTTTTCTATTTATAAACACTTTAACATATCTGTGTTTTACCTAGGAGGAAATGAATTTGGTTAGGGTGTTTGTCTTAGAATAGTCAGGGATGTCACTAAGTGGTAATGCTGTCCATGACAGATAAGCCTTTTAAAGTGCAAACAAGGCAACTGATACGTGATAAACAGATAGCTGACATACATAAAGTAAGCACATAGGTACTTGAGAGATATGCTGATAACAAAAGCCACAGGTAAACTTTGATTGTTTCCTGGCGGTACCACCTACCTTAGTAACTTCTTGTCATTTATATCACAAGTCACAACTAGTGTTTTTCAGCACCACATTAGTTTCTGGTATCACAGTTGGATCAATTGTCCATGCAGCAGGCAGACGCAGGGTTGAAACTATTCTGTGACCCACACCATTCTTGGGGCGCCAGTGTGGCCTCTTCGACTGTGAGTGTGTGACTTGCGAGTGCAGTGTCATTAAAGACTAACCAGTATCTAGACTGTGTGCTCACTCATCCCAAGCATCCGCGCGCGTGCTAGTAGCATTGACTGACTCAGCTGAATTGGTTGTTATCAATGGCATGCCCTCCCGGCCTCCCCACCCTTTTGCCAGTCCGTGGACGGCACTCGGCAGTGACCCACTGACGTCGCTGCCGTGCGTTGACAGAGCCCGAGTACAGCTGCGAGTATGGCTCGCCCAAGTTCTTCGCCATCGCCGGCTTCGGCGGTATCCTGTCGTGCGGTATCACGCATACGGCCATCGTGCCGCTCGACCTGGTCAAGTGCCGCCTGCAGACCAACGCCGACAAGTACAAGGGCATCTTCAACGGATTCAAGGTGGGTAGACCCGGCAGGTGGTGACGGACGCAACAGACGGCCACTGGAGAAGGTTGTTTTGTAGCTTGATTGAAAAGGTTGATGTTATGGGGTCAGCCTACTGTCTATCACATGTCAACAAAATGTGGTATCTCTTTACTGATTTGAATATGTGACTTGCTTACTGATCATATATGAGCTCCTATCCCCCTCCTGCTCAACCATTGAAATAATTGAGGCGAGAAAAATGTCGAAACCCACACAATTGTTGTTTTCACGAAATTATACTCAAACAGGCTCGCCTCGTCGTGTGCCAAGTTCGGCCAGCACCTCCGACCCAGGCGCGAGACGAGCCCTCGACCTGGCTAGGCTGACCTCCGACCCGTCCACCGTCTCTCGCCAGGTGACCGTGAAAGAGGAGGGAGTGCGAGGCCTGGCGCGCGGCTGGGCGCCCACCCTCATCGGCTACTCGATGCAGGGCCTGTGCAAGTTCGGCTTCTACGAGCTGTTCAAGCACGTCTACTCCAACGTCCTGGGCGAGGAGAAGGCCTACCTGTGGCGCACCTCGCTCTACCTGGCCGCCTCGGCGTCGGCCGAGTTCTTCGCCGACATCGCGCTGGCGCCCATGGAGGCCCTCAAGGTACGGCGGGTCGCCGGCTCTGTGCTTACTGCCCGTGGGCTGTTCAGCCTTTTCTTGGCCTTCAAATTATACCATAAAATGAATTAATAACTTTTCGGTCACTTGCTACTGGCAAGTATAGGTGAACAAAATAAATCATACGAGAATCGTAAGGCCATCGCTGCTTGTGCATATGTAACATGCAACCGCCGAAGTGGTCAGATCGGTCGATACTGGTGCGACTCCCGCGGTTTTCACGCGCTCTGTCCGTCGCCAGGTGCGGATCCAGACCATGCCGGGCTTCCCAGCGACGCTGCGCGCCGGCTTCCCGATCATCATGCAGCAGGAGGGCTGGTGGGGCTTCTACAAGGGCGTGGCGCCGCTCTGGGCTCGTCAGATCCCCTACACGATGATGAAGTTCGCCTGCTTCGAGCGCACCGTTGAGGCACTCTACCAGTGAGTAGCAAGGGGTCTTGTGCTGAAGTTGTGATGTGTGTGCGGGCAGCCAGTCGGCAATGGTGTGAAAAATGAACGAGGAAAGTAATGACAAAAGTGAGTGGTGTGTAGGTCGAACGACCTTCATCAATCTCGTAACGGTGTAACCCCTCCCCCTTCCCCATGCAAATTATTGTAAAACTGGTGTCTGGCCGACGTGGCATGACAGATCATCCCCATTGTAACCGATTGGAGCCGTCCTAATAGATCCATCTGGACTCAGTGTGGGCAGCGGCCCATCCCGACCTTCCCCGCCTGCGGATGCCTGTCGCCCCGTCCCGCTCGTCTCCCTCGGCTGACCGCGCCCGCCCCGTCCGCAGGTACGTGGTGCCCAAGCCGCGCGCCGAGTGCTCCAAGGGCGAGCAGCTGGTGGTGACATTCGCCGCCGGTTACATCGCCGGCGTGTTCTGCGCCATCGTCTCCCACCCGGCTGACACCGTCGTCAGCAAGCTCAACATGGCCAAGGGCTCGTCGGCCCTCGACGTCGCCAAGAGCCTGGGCTTCATGGGCATGTGGAAGGGCCTGACGGCGCGTATCATCATGATCGGCACACTGACGGCGCTGCAGTGGTTCATCTACGACGGCGTGAAGGTGGCGCTGCGCGTGCCGCGGCCGCCGCCGCCCTCCATGCCCGAGTCGCTGCGGCTCAAGCTGGAGGCCAAGCAGCAGTAGAGCGCGGTCGGATGGCGTCCGTGTGTGTGATGGAATGCCCGCTGTACAGAGCGTTAGGTGAATAGACGGTGGCCGGGCGCGGGGTCGCATCGGCCCGCCCCGCAATATATACACAGCCGAACGGCTGACCACACCACACGGACTTTGGTGGGGTGTATCAAGGAGGGAGTGGGAACGAGATGGACTATCGGCATGGAGGGCGATGTCCCGTTCCGTGATACTACTTGGTTCAGAGCAGTTGTTGATTTTGAAAGCAAATATTTTTGATTTGCCGGCGATCCGGTCGTGCGGGCATACAGGCTATCCCACCTCAAAAGTATGTAATTATTCTGGCTGTGGTGTTGCTGCGCCCTGATCAACAATTTCCGTGTGTATTATTAGCTCTGCAGATGGCATCTGGGCGCCTTCCTCAGAAAATGAGCGGCTGACCATGGTCGTTGCCCATGTGTAGTCCAGCTGCGACCGACGCGATGCCGCGGCCAGACCAGTAGTACCGGCGTTTGCCGTAAGATGTCTCCCCAGTCGTGCGGTCTCCTTGACAACCCTGGTGTGACCCAGGGTAAATTGAGAGACCCCCGAACGACCCGCTGACGGCACACACACCGCTCGGGGTGTGCGTGCGTCCGGTCGCGCACCGTCCGCTGTCGGCTCAACCCTCGCCTCTGAGCCGCCAATGGGGCTGTCTGTGTGCCTGCGGCTGGCCTGGCTGGTCGCGGCGGCGGCGGCGGTGTACTCGCAGTACGAGGGTCCCCAGGAGCCGGACGAGCCGTGCCAGGACGTGACGGCCGAGTTCAACCGGCTGACCGAGCCGCTGCCGGCCGGCCGGCTGCCCCGTGCTGACCTGCAGCTCATGACTGCTGACACGGACAACGAGAGTGAGTAGCACACTCCTCTGCGGGGCCGATAAAAGCAGATTGCCGCTCCTATCAGTCGGGGGACGCGCGGGGATGTACCACTCTTATCGGAGGCGAGATTGGCGTTTAGTGAGGCGGCTGAGGGCGGCTGCAACATATCCGACTGTAAAAGTAAAAACATTTAAATGGTGTTCTGCTTCCATAGGCAAACTTAGGCTGACTGCTCCAAATTTATTGCGCAGCTAGTCACGTTCAGTCATATAGCGGCCGCTGTTCACAGACTGGTTCCGTACTGTTCCCTGTCCACAAACTGGTACATACCGTGCTGTCCTCTGTCCACAGACTGTTACCGTACTGTCCCCTGTCCTCAGACTGGTATCGTAGTGTCCCCTGTCCACAGAATGGTACCGTACTGTCCCCTGTCCATAGACTGGTACCGTACTGTCCTCTGTCCACAGACTGGTACCGTAATGTCCCCTGTCCACAGACTGATACTGTACTGTCCCCTCTCCACAGACTGGTACCGTCCACAGACTGGTACCATACTGTCCCCACTCCCCTGTCCACAGACTGGTGCCGCAACATGTGCCAGGCCCGTCCGTCCTGTCGAAGCGTGGCGTTCAGTCGCGGGTCGGCCGAGTGCCGTCTGTTCCAGGTGCCAGCCACGCTTGACAACACAGAGGCCGCCGATGGAGACTGGCTGCTCGTGAACCGCATGTCTCAGGGTCAGTCCGCTTTGGCCCCTGGCCCTACCCGACCCTGCATCAGTCCGCTCTGGCCCCTGGCCCCTACCCGACCCTGCATCAGTCCGCTGTGGCCCCTACCCGACCCTGCATCAGTCCGCTCTGGCCCCTACCCGACCCTGCATCAGTCCGCTCTGCTACCTACCCGACCCTGCACGCTCCCGAATCAGTCACCGGCAAGTTGTCTGTTGGTATTCTCCTCGGGGTGTGTTCCACAATTCAGGTATATGTAAATAACACCATCTGTTATTCAATCTTACGTCTCCTTTGATCTTTGTTATTTTCCCTCTGACTCCGGGGAAATAATCTTGACTCCGGGGTGCTGCCTTACCTATATAGCACCTGCGACCCGCCGCGCCGCCACCAGGTACTAACACTGGCGGATCCGGGGAAGGGGTATTGTGGGCAAGTGCCCCCTCGCAGCGTCCGAAATCGACGAAACTTTGTCGTTTTATAGAATACGAAGAAAAATAAGCAACTTTTATTGGGAAAACTCTGCTTTAACTACACAGCAGTGCGTAAAGAATCTAAATTTGAGGAGTTTTTTGCAAGTTTTGGAGAAATTTGGTGGTATTCCCGCGCAGAGTTCGAGACTGTCTTTCTGGATCCGCCTGTGGGTACCTACTTGAGCTTCGTTTTCTATGGAAACGTTAACAAGTAGGGGAGAGTGGGGTAATTTGGCCGCTTTTTTTAGAAAACGATGTAACTAAAAATCGACAACACCTTTCTGCATTTTCTCAACGCTGACAGGTGTGGCATACATTTTACTTTCCTGGACAGTAAAGTTAAAATGATAGGGTGACTACTTATATTGAAATTGTGACGTATTACAAAGATCTGCAAAGCGGCCAAATTGCCCCACTAGCAGGGTTATTTGGCCGGGGGTGTGAGGCAATTTGGCCGGTGTTAGTTTGAGGCCATGATTTTTGTTATCGGCAAGTCAGCTCCACATTCAGCAATGACGCGTGTCCTACGACGCATTTGAAGCATTTTGGAGGTTGACTCAGCCGTCACAGGGGTCGAAAATAGTCAAATAACGGCTCTAGATGCGATGACAGTTTTTTACGAATAGCTTTTGAAGTATTCAAGCTGGGCCAAAACTAAAAATACCATCGTAATTCTCTCGTCATTCCGCATCGAAACATGTATGTCTTGACCTCGAGAGGTCAAGGCCAAAGGTTGGCTTCAGGTCACGTTACCTCAGGTCGCTTGACCTCAAGGTTACGTGAGTTCAAGGTCACCATGTATATCATTCGATGCGCTTTGACGAGCTGAACACAATCAGACCATTTGCGCGGCTGTATCTTTTTTCTGTAAGTATTTATTAGCAAAACAACGTTAGGTAACCGTTGATGACGTCACATGCCCTTACAGCTGTCCGGGCATCAAGGTAGTCAAAGTTGGTCATGAATTATGTCCTTCATGGTATAGTTGACCGTGACAACTCGGCCGTCCCAGCAAAGTGACTCTGAGCGCACCGGCCAAGTTGCCCCGCTAGTCCCGGCCAAATAACTCCACATTGCCATTCTGAAAATTTTTGTCTATAAAGTCGTCATGGCTGTACAGAACTAGATGAAATTGCTCTTGGAACCGCTGAACACCCTCAAGAATGGCGCTATAATGTTGGAATTCGCTTACAGCCCAAATACTACATGTTATACAAAAATTTTAAACGGAAGTAAAAGTTACCATTTTCTAACGAAATTCACGTTTTATTAATTTTGAATAAAACTAAGAGGGGGAAAGTTTTGACGTTTGTTCTCTAGTTATTTCTGCCGATGACAAATGAATAGAGACTAAAGTTATTTCATTCACTTTTATTAGCTTTCGTACAGGTGGGGGCGGCCAATTTACACCACCGGCCAAATTACCCCACTCTCCCCTATTCGCATACGTTTTCATGGGAACCGAGACGCCAATGCTTCGTAGCGGCGCGTCGGTTTATAGCAGCGTCCTGTAAAACGGCCCTGTTCGTCGGCCATCAAGTTTGCAGCCGAACGACTCAAACCATTGACCTAAAAAAGACTTCTAGAGGTCAATGACTCAAACGAAGTCGACTGTCCTAGGGGCAGCCTTACCAGTTAGGTACCACGGCTCTGCAGCCATTCCCTTGAAGTTGGCTACTCAATACATCACTCTATACAGAGGCCTGTGCTTGAACATGTGTGGGAAAATGTATTTACTGGTTACTTAAAGGAAAAGTGCCACCTTCTTGAAATATGAAGATATCGTTGGTTTTTATTTTGACATTATTATTTTCCATTTTCTTTTCAAAACCGGTGCCAGAAGTGCATAATTCGCTAAAAAGTATTTCAAACTATTTAACATATTGGTACTATGTTTATACTCTCTACCGCAGCTACTGTATGATGTCATAGCAATGACGTCACACTCAAGCCAATCAGCCTTGAGGAGGATAGACTCGTCGGACTGTAGCGGTTGTAAACAACTTGTCGCCCCGTGTGTCTGCCCGTGGCGCTAGTTATCTGTCGAAGGTAAGGGTGAAAGATGGATATAATGGCCATGGAACGCTATTTTAGGATTATTGGTGAATAGCAAGAATATAGTTTTGGTGGTTTGAAATTGTTTGTCCTCAGTGATTGGCTTGATTCTCATTTTGCGGCATAAGCGGCTGTTTGGTTACATTGCATTTTTTATGATTGTGTAATTATTATGATTATGTTCCTCCAAAGTAGGCATCACATATCAATCTCAAAGGCAGATCATCTTCTTTTCATGCCTATAATTTTCTTCAAGAATATTAATAAAAAATATTCCATTTACCCCTGCCTATCATATATCCCATGGAGCTGCCGGTGGAAGTAGGCATGCAATGTGACCTAGCATTGGCGATGTGGTTAATTAGCTTTAAAGTACTATGGAATGCTAAAGGTCATCATTTAGAATGGTTTTCAAAACATTCCACTAGGAAATATTCATTGAAACCTGAAAATTACTTACAAAATGTAAATGTATAGCCACGTCTCAAGAGCATTCAGCCGTCTTCTCAGTAAATATATAATGAAACATAATCTTACCTGACCTAGCCTTACCTACAACCTACAACGTACGGCATTGGTAAAGCTGGCATCACTGTCAGCGTATATTAGTTTGGTAGGTTGTGGGTAGGTAGGTTGCAGGTCAGTAGGTAAGGTTAGGTTAAGTTAGATTGTTTTTAAGATTCCTTTTATCTACACATTTACCGGTTAGCGCTGACGGTGACACCAGCTTTACCGATACCCAACCTACCACCTAAAACCTACAACCTAAAACCTACATTCAATGGTGGCGGGTGGTGATATTGTTATACCTATATGATAATACTGGAGATAAATACCATACAGATTAGCTGGTATCCATGACACACTTTCTTAAGAAGAAGGTCTTCTATTAAATCATGCCTATTTTATAGGAATGAAATGATTTTTGTTGTAGTCACAACTCACATTCCCTACTCTGACCATCATGTCTGATTATTTCCAGTTACCACTGACAATGCCCAAAACAAGAACAACAAAGGCCCAAAGGTGGCTGTTTGGTAGTGCGCAAAGCTGCTGGTAAGTGGCATCAAAGGATAGGATGTTGTTGTTGTTATGGGTTAGGGCGCGTAGCAACTTGGCTCTTGCGTCCAACATCAAAGGATAGGATGTGCTTTGTTATTTCCAGGCACGTAGCCAGGATTTTGCTCAGGGGGGGGGGGTCACAGGTTGTGGCCTAGTGTTGTACCCCCTCCAAAAAAGGAAAATTTCTCTGATTAGGCCCACTATTTTTGGGGGGGGGGTGTCACAGCTGTTTTTATTAAAAAAATCGCCATCACCGAGGGGGGAAGGGGCACGAGGGCATGGCTCCCGTGCCCCTCCCCCCTCCTTGGTTACGTCCTTGGTTATTTCTGAGAGTTTGGATATCACAAAGCTTTAGATATAAATTAGAATGTAATAAGAAGCTTTCAGCATTGCACCTTTCCAGACACTGATAATTCATTTGTCTTTATTGTTTCAAAAGTCAATTTTCAACACAAAAAAAGTTGAAATTATTAACTCAAATAATTGCAAATATATACTTTGGTAATTTGCCTTTCGCATCACTATCAACAAAATAATCAAGGGTGACTAAATATGAAATGTTCCTGCATGATCTTCATCGTGAACAATTGTCAAGGTATGATGTTTGCGTGTTGAAATGTTATAAAGAACTTATGTCATAAAAACACAACTTGTAAAATTGTGTCTTTCCATATTATTTTGCAAGTAAGCCTTGGAAGGAAGAGACACTATTCCGTCCTACAGAAGCCATTTAGAAATGTGTGACATGTTCAGCACTTTGAGTCAGTCGGTGCCCGGACCTCAGTCGGCTGTATGACCGTCTCCTCGTCCTCTTTTGTCGGCTCCGCCCCGTGCTGTTCTATAAGGGTGTCTGACCCGCTGCCGCTATCCCCACTGTGAGGTCTGACCCGCCGCGCGCTGTCACCACTGTCGGCCCTCTGTGTGCGCGGCAGGTGGTGGTGGACGTCTCTGCCCTGACGCGCGGCGTGCGTCTGCTCAGTGTGGAGGTGCCGCTGACAGCGGTGCCGGCCGGACCGGCTGCCTCTCCGGCGGCCGACATTGAGCGCGGCACGTGTCCGCCGCCGTTCGGGCCGCTGCAGCTGCTGCAGTCGGCGGCGCAGCTGTCCGTCTCCGTGTCGCTGGCCGTGCCGCTGGACCTGCTGCCGCGGCCGGCGCCGGCGCGCTGCGCCTACGGCCGCCTGCTGGCCGTCGTCTCGCAGCGCGGCCTGCAGCGCAGCGGCGTGCTGCAGCTCATCCAGCAGCTCAACGAGCCGCCCAGCCCGGCGGCGGCCGAGGGCGCCGCGCCGCGCCGGCCCGGCGACGTCAGCACACCAGGCATCAGCGGCTTCTGCCTGGCCGACCGTCAGCTGCACCTGCTGTTCGCCGAGGGGCGCGCCGACGCCGAGCTGGAACAGACGGCGGCCGCGCCGCGCGCTCTGCCGCGCCGCGCGCTCTGCCGCGCCGCGCGCTCTGCCGCGCCGCGACGCTCGACTCTGCCACCACTCGGGCGTACTGTTTAGGGAGCGCCTGTACCCGCGCCAGCCGGCCGCGTTCCGCGTGCTCGAGGACCGCCCGCTACGCGCCCAGCTGCTCGACACCCGCCTCTACACGTTACAGAAACAGGAGCCGGCGCGCGCCGTCCGCGCCATCAGAGAGTGCTTCCGCACGCAGTGGCTGTCGGAAAATGAACCTGCTTCCCAACGAGGCCGGCCTGCAACAACTGCTGGCCGGCTGTTGGCCGAAAAAAAACGCCTTCAACCGGATGTCAGTTGTCAAAGCAACGCGTATTAATGCATTCACTAGGATGGGCTTACGTAAAGCTGTAGAATTGCAAATATATAATGGCACTGTTTTTGATCCGTTCGGTATGCATTGGTATCATATGATCTCTCATTCACAGACGATCAGCTGCGAAGACCCAGATCCGTAGTAGAGGGCTCATCGAGTCCGGGTCCAGCTCCCCGTACTTCCTCCACTTTGGAAACACCGCAGCGCAGATCACAGTCATACATAATATTTAGTTTTCATTCACTTCATAACCGAAGGTTGTTTGATAGGTGATATGCTGCTTGAGTTGCACCCCGGTATATCAATACGAAGCTTCCGTCCCTGCCACATACCAGTGAAGGAGGCGGCGGCGGCGGCGGCCGGGGCCGGGCTGCCCTGCCCACCGACACAGTCTGTGAAATGCCCCAACAACCTTTAAAATTCAACAGGCTTCATAAATGTTTTTTTGCACCATATTTTCTCGCGTATATGAAAGCTCTAAAATGTACAATATTCCTTTCAGCCACAAGCGATATAAAAGCTCTACAAAACGTCATGTCTCTGTGTGCAAGAAGGACACATATATTGTGTATAATCGAGCGTACATGATCTGCAGCGCTGCGGAGGGCTGCTCGGTTGCCGCTTTTTACCAGTCGGCTCTAGGTCGGACATATGGGTAAACAAAATGGAATAGTAATATTAAACAATGCTACCTGCTGATGCTACTGGGCCTCTCATTGGTGAAGAACTGGCAGCCAGCCAGCGTGTTTTTGTGAGAACTGTTTTAACAGCAGCAACCGAACGGCTCTCGGGCCAGCGACCAGTGAGCGTAGACAGCACAGCGCTCCGTTAGGCATCGGCGGGCAAGCACGCATTAGCTGCGGACGGACCGGCCGCCCGAACATATTTGTCGGTATCGAAAGTATCGTGAACCAAATGACTGCTAGCGAAAAAAGGACTGCCTCGTATCCATGAAAACATGTGTTCTACAAAAGTACATAATTGCTTAGTTGTCGCCAGTCACTCATTGCACCATGGCGTCAGTGTGGGGCCGCGCCCCGAATCATCTCAATCGCCAGGCAAAGCATCTCAATCGACAGGCACATGGTAGTCCAGCTACGAATCCGAGCCGCGGCATCCCGTCTATGTATCTACATTACACCACAATCGAACACTGTCGGGACACCCGAGACAGCAGTCTCCAATGTAACATCAAAACCCGCCACTCGTCTAATATCAGAAAAATGAGCATTGAGTACCTACCGAATATCGACTACAGAAGATTACAATGGGGTGCAGATCTAGCAAGAGTGTCGCGGTTCGTCTCGGCACGGCTTACAGGCCGCCGAGCCCGCGCAGGTGACCGCCAGCTCCACCTGTTCCACCTCCGGCGCGGAAGCTCGATCACAAGACTGACCTCAGTCGGCACTCTGTGCTCGGCACAGGGCGACCGGGTCAGGAGCGGGCCGCTGCCGCCAGGGCCGCGGCCACCAGCCACGCGGCAGCGCCCGCGCACCGTCCGCCACCACCCGCTCAGCCCAGATGCGCGCCACGGCGTCATTGGGGCTTCCCTGAGCAGGATCGAACCAGAGCTGCATGCACGGCTCCGCATCCGCCGTGAACTTCCACGAGTGATCCCACACCTGAAAAAGGCGCACGGTTTGCGTCACAGCTCGGCTCACTTTCACAGTCCACGCACCGGCAGCAATTAAGGGCTACTTAGATAGTGTGCTAATAGAGCGCAATCACTTAGCTTAATCCATATAGTCAACCATGAATTGTTAATTACGAGCGAGCGAGCGAAGCGAAGTCTTTTCAATATCACGGGAAAAGCTCAGTATGAGCGGCCCGACCCGGCCCGGCCTGTAACGCTTTTGAGAGGCTTATATCTCAGCAACCGCTGGACCGATTGGCCTGCGGTCTTTTTTTTTTTGTTGGCTAGCCCTATTCCCTCTACCCCGTAATTGACTACTCTTGATACATTACAGGGACCGTCGTGGCACGTGCCACGTGAAAAGTCAAGGGTGTTATTTGTCAAAAGTTGCAAAAGAAGTGATTTTGAGAGGCTCATCTCAGCAGCCGCTTGGGCGGTCTTGCGGTAAATTTTGTAGGGTAGCTGCACCCCTTCAACCAAAGGTCGGATGCTCTTGATCTATGTGAGTGACCCCCACTGCACGTGCAAAATGCAAAAAGAAGAGGTGCCGAATTGTTCCCATTTCAATAACTCTGTAATTACTGGGGCGATTTAGCTGAAACTTGGCATACAGGTAGGCAGTAGGCACCCACCAGGCAATGCATTCCCATATGTTGCGGTTAGGGTGCTACTGCTTAGTGTATTATGTGTAAAATAAAGGACGCTTGAATCTTACCTGAGTGATGTCCATTTCTTGATCACTTTCATCTGTGGGTGACCGAGCAGCGACAGCAACCCAAGGCGTATACGGAATCTGTAAAAAATCAGCACACCGTTACCACATGTTTTAATAAAACTTACCTATAGGGAGGTAGCATAAAATACAGATCAAAACAATAACATACAAACATACAGATATTCGGTTAGGTTGAAATGGCTAAAAAATATAAAAAATAAGGGCAAGGTACTAGGGCTGTAAAGCTGTAAGGGCTCGGTACTAGTAATAATTTTTGGCTAAAAATATCACAAATAAAGACTCTGCACTAAAGCTGTGATGTCTGGTACTAGGAATAACTTTAGAGTGAAGTGTTACAAAAACAATATTCAAAGTCTTTTGATAACTTTGCAGGCATTTTCATCACTTTTAAAAAATACTTACATTCTGATCCGGCACAGCACTGTTCTTTAGACGCAAACGTTTTTGACTGTGCTTATCATGGTGCGCACTTCTTGTTAAGTTTAAGTGGTCATGTGGTCTTGGCTCATTGGTCATGCCACACACCCTCATCCACTTTTCTCTGTACTTCTTTTTTTAGCGGGAACCTAAAAGTAAAAAAGGGTCAACACATGCTTAGTCCATGCAACACATACTCTGTGTATTAAGCTGAATAGCTCCACTGAGCCCAGTTTCACCAAGTGCGGTAAACTAAATTTTGGGGTAGTTTTTGTAGTTAAGTAGTGGGGTAGTTTGGTAGTTTACCCCAAATTGAGTTTACTGCACTTGGTGAAACTGGGCTCTGGTGAGTTTCCTTTTCTTGTCAGCACATAAGTGAAAGAAAACTGTGTAGACAAGAGATGAACCAAACCCCCATGGAAAGGTAGGTGTTACCACAACCAGGAAATGGGATTTGAAGGGCTGGATAAATGTGTCTGAGTTCTGCCTTTCAGCCAGACTGGAAAACATCCATACACTACGCCGGATGCCCGTGAGCCCCTCATGCGCCAAAATTTGAAGCAAGCAATTTTGAGCTGAAATTCCAGTGCATGATTTCCACTGAAAGTTGGGTGCCTGTTTGCACCAAAATTAAGCCACTTTTACATAAAGCACATGTGCATATCTACCGACCAAGGCTATATCAACCAGACAGATCGTTCCGGGGCCTCGGAGTCAGACGCTCTTCCCTTTCTGAGCGTCTGAATTAGTTAATGTTCCCATGAAAACCCAATACCACAATTTGTGTGGCACACTGTAGAATCTTAAGGTGAAACAAGGCCCAGGCCGGAAGTTCCGACTCTCTTCAGACCTGCCAGCGCCCGCAGGGCAAGTCTGCTGCTAGATTGACCACAGCGTGTCAAAAAATTCGGTGACAGCCATTTGCATAAACATTATGCGCCATGCGGTCACCCTGCGCCTAAAAATTCAGCTGCCACCATGCGCTGAATTTGACGCATGCAAAATTATGCTGGATGTGCGATGAAATTTTCGGGGCAACGCCGCAATCACGCCACTTCGCATGACATATTCGGCATAACTTGCGTTTTTTTATCCAGTCTGGCATTTCAGTTGTGAAAGCCTGAACAGTTCAAAAGGGTTTGCTAATCCAGGGGAGAGTTCTGTGAAAACAAAAGTAATAAAAGAGCCATTGCAATAAATAAGAATTTAGGTACCTACCTAGGTACCTAGGTACTTACTTGTGCACAGTCACACGCATATCAGTCCCGACCCGACGTAGGTCGTTTGCTCCGCGGATCACGCACTTCTTCATCGTTATTATAGGTATTTGTTCGAACAAAAATGCCCTGATTTCGGATCAGAGCCACGGTATAAAATATGGTATACTGCCTTGCATAAGATAAAAATGCATTTTAGCAATTGGCTACCAAACGAGATGTCATCTGTTCAGGGCATAGCATAGGTTTACTTTCATAGACCTCATAAAAGTAGCTCATGAAACTCATCACCAATCAGCGCGACGGATTTCAAGATTCGATTGCGGATGTTCATCCGCCGGCCGATTGCCAGAACAGACAACGAAAAATAACGCAACTGCTCGTGGTCTGCTCGCTAGTACAGGGATCCGTGCCTGATCAGTACTGCTGCAAGCTGATTGGTTAAAAACCAAAGCCTCGCCGCGGGTGGCTGTATTGTCGGATAAGAACGCATTCCTGGGATAAGAACGCATTCCTGGCATATTTTCTTTTAAAATTGCCGATAACTACGAATGGAGGCCGAAATCGGCCGTAAGGAGGTAGACAGAGAGGTTTTCGGACACGGGCTACAAGATGGCTATCTCAGTTTCAATCCCCATGTTAAAGGTGGCCCTTTTCCTTTAAGCACTGTTATCAAACCGTTGTATCAAGTAATGTGTTGCTTGTTACTTGATAGGTACACACTTCGCATTGTGTGGTTTAAATCTATATTTTGATGACGTATAGATTTTATAGACTTTTGCCTAAATATTCATATGCATCCGGCAGTAATGGTTTCGTTTTATTTGCTGCACAAAAGCCGTTAGTTGACGCATTTTATGTGTATTTCATACACCGACTTGAACAATTAGTGCTAACACATGCATATTATACAAAGACCGATTAAAACGTCCTGAATAATGCTATTTCAAAATAAGCTGTATGTTCCACAAGTTCACAGTCCACAACAATTGTTCGCCCTATCGACATGCGGTTGATGGGATCATCAGAACCAAATTAGGTATACCTTCGACCTCTGTCTGTACACCCTACGGTGTATGTACAGAGGTCTCTTCAGGCTGAGGACCTGCTTCCCCGACCTCAGCACCAGACCAGTCCTCATCTGCATGAAGAACCAGTTCCTCCGGCTGCGCTCCTTCAATGTAAGGACTGGGCAGCCTGCTCAGCGCATCGGCATTGGCAATCTCATGTGTTCGCTTGAACTGAATGCGGTAATTATAACCAGACAGTTTGAGAGCCCAGCGCCTGATTCGCCCAGACGCCATCTCAGGCAACGCCTCATGCTGCCCAAACAACTTGAAGAGCGGCTTATGATCCGTGACGAGGAAGAATGGTCGAGTTACCCCGCACAGATACTGGTGGAACTTGGTTACTCCCATGATGACCGCCAAGCCCTCACGCTCAATTTGACTGTACTTTTGCTCTGCTACAGACAATCTTCTAGAGGCGAAAGCGATCGGCGCCTCTACACCATTATCATCGAGATGAGCCAATACTGCAGCGACCCCCCTGCATGATGCATCGGTGGTAAGAATCAGCTGTTTTTCTGGATCAAAATGAACCAACAAAGTGTGGGAGGCCAGAGCGTCTTTCACAGAATTAAAACTCTTCTCTTGTGAAGGCCCCCATGTCCAGCTGGCCCCTGCCCTTAAAAGGTCATACAGGGGAGACAAGACCTCGGCACGCTGCGCTATAAATCGCGAGTAGTATGTAACAAGTCCGAGGAAAGACTTGAGCTCAGTCACATTAGCGGGGCGGGGGGCATCCACGATAGCCTTCACCTTGTCTGACGTCGGCCGAATTCCATCCCTGCTCATGTGATGTCCCAGATACTCCACGCTGTCTTGAAAGAACGCGCACTTGGTCTCCCGAACTCGGAGTCCAGCAGCCTCCAGTCGACTGAAGATCGATCCCAGCACCTTCCAGTGTTCTTCCTCTGACTGGCTGCCAACGAGCACATCATCAAGGTAAACAACCACATCTGGAATGCCGCTCAAAACGCGCTCTATCTCCCTCTGGAAAACTCCTACAGCACAGTTTACTCCAAATGGCATCCTGGTGTACTGCAGGAGCCCACGAGAAGTGTTGATGGTGAGAATATCTCGTGAGTCTTTATGTATCTTAACCTGATTGTAGGCCTGTGCTAAATCAATTTTGGACCAGACTTTCTTCGATCCTAGCTTTGCAAACATTTCTTCTGTCTTGGGCAGTGGGTACTTGTCAAGTTTCACAGCTCTGTTTGCAGTCAGTTTAAAATTCGCACAGACACGAATGCGCCCGTCAGGCCGCACGACTGGTACAATGGGCGCTGCCCAGCGGCTGTTCCTAACTGGGACCAGCACACCACTAGCAATGTCTGCGTCTAACTGATCCTCAACCTTCTGTTTGTACGCAAATGGTAAAGAGCGAGCTTTGAAAAACTTAGGAACAACACTTCTGTCGATATCAAGCCTGACTTCTACACCTTTCAATGTGCCCAGCCCCTCACGAAACACAGAGCCATACTTGCTTTTGAGTCGTTGTAGATGTGAAGTCCTCAGCGCGTGCACGTCAGACCAGCAGATCTGCATCTTCTCCAGCCAGTTCCGACCCAGGAGGCATGGAGCCGATCCATGGACGACCACGATCGGGAGTTGCCTGTACAGCCGACCATTGTACGTCACGTCAGTGCTGAATTCACCCAGTACAGGTATTGTGTTGCCAGTAAACGATCTCAGTTTAACGGGGCTGCTATTCAACTTCGGACGCTTTTGAAAACGACGGTATGTGTGTTCATCAATCAATGTGACACCAGCGCCCGTGTCTAACTCCATGTTAACCTGCGTGCTACAAATCTGAACAGGGCACCAAATAGGTGGCGAGCTCACCTGGGCGCGGTTAACCACATACACCGGCTGACTCGGAGTCGACAAGTTCTCCAGCAGGACCGGCTCCACCGCGCCGCTGTCATCATCAGGCTGCTCTCCAGACACTCCCTGGTGGTGAACTGAAGACGCCTGCTGCCGGCAGCATCTTGAAATGTGACCCTGACGACCACATGCGTAACATTTGGCGGACTCGAATCGGCATTTCCCACCATGCCGATTGCCACAGCGCCAGCACGATCGGCCGTACTTAGCTGAGTCAGCTGATGTCGGCGCGTCCCTGTGCCCGGGCTGGGCGCTTCTGATGGTCCGCTGCGGCCCACTGGCCACCCGGTTAGCAGCCGCGGCCACCTCTCCGCTGAAACAAGAAGCCTCTCTCTGCACCGCCTCCATGGCCTTGGCCTGCTGCAGGGCAGATTCCAATGTCAGATCAGACTTGCTCAACAGCTCTCGCTGACACTTGACATCTTTCATTCCACATACGAGCTGGTCCCTGAGCGCCGTATTCAAATAGTCACCGAAATTACATTCCTTGGCCATTTTCCTCAGCGTAGCAATATACTCACTCACAGACTCATTCGACTGTTGTGTCCGCTTGAAAAATTTGAACCGTTCCGCTATTTCCACGCTTTGAGGCTTGAAATGCCGAAGTAAACTGTCTCTTATTTCGGCCAAGGACGCATCAGAAAGCCCCACTGGGTGTAACAGATCCTTAATTATATCAAACGTGCCATGGCCTACAGTTGACAGAAAAACAGCCTTCTTCCGTTCCGCTGCTGAGATCCCATTTGCCTCACAGTAAAAATCAAACCGTTCCAAGTAACTTCCGATTCCTTCATTGCCCGGATCAAACTCACCCAACGCTCCATGTACCATACTTGTGCCAAATGTTCCACCTCCTCTTCAAGTCCAGTGATTCTCGTCGCCACTGTAACGAACTGGTCTGTACTGTATTGGCTCACCCAGCACCCTGCCGGCCCGCGGCCCCAACCGGCCCGCGGCCGACCCCACCGTGCCCCAGGGCAGACGCGGCGGCAGTACACATACGCGCTGACGTCACGGCAAGCCGTGACCTCACCGATCCGTGACAGAGCAATAGAGCATCAAGGCAGAGCAATACACTACAGGATATACCTATCTGTAAGAATCTTGGATATACCTACCGTATAAAATGACGAGACATTCATCGCAAACCAACACTATGACGAATCCTAACTGCGTGGCGTTAGGGGCAGTTTGGCATGGTGGAGCGAGCTAAGCTAAGCGATAAGCTGAAGAAATACATAAAAAATCATGTGCATTCTCCGATCTCCTAGCTACGCATGTACATCGTCGCGAATATGGTATCTGATGTAATTAATGCATCATTCATTGCCTATTGCATAACATACGATCAATGACTGTAATGGGGTCCATGGCGCGTATCGGTAGACCTATATTATACGTCTCTGTCTTCCTTCTTCTCACTCCCGCCGACAAACGCCTCTCTCTCTCTCCTCTCTCTCCTTCCTCTCTCTCCTCTCTCTCTCTCTCTCTCTCTCTCTCTCTCTCTCTCTCTCTCTCTCTCTCCTCCTCTCTCTCTCCTCCTCTCTCTCTCTCTCTCTTCTCTCCTCTCTCTCTCTCTCTCTCTCTCCTCTCCTCTCATGCGCACACTGACTGACTGACTGCCTGACTGACTCACTCACTCACTCGCTCACTCCCTCACTCACTGCCTCTCATACCTTCAGCCAAGCTCCTGCTACTCTTT